TTTTGTCGAATTTCTTCTCTAATCCTCCTCCGCCGCCTGCCCCCACTTCTGTTTATCAAATGTAACCCCAGTTGTATTCGTTCTGAATTTGTTTTCTCTACAGGGTAAATATTGCCTATGCGCGTTAAATTCTGGCAAGACTCAGCTGATATGTAGCTCCACGATTTTGGCATCAATTTCCTCGCAAGTTCAACCCATGAACTCTTCTGTAAGAACGCTGACAAGGGGATCTCAACACTCGAGTTTTCCTATCTTGAGAGAAGCGTTTCCCACGAAGAACAGAAGACTTATCCGTGTAAACTCAACGGCAAAAGTAAATGAGTTTTATTGTTTGTTTCCTTCATTGTTCTGAAATTATCTGATGTATTTTTGGTCTATATACTCTAAATAGTTTCTAATAGATTCTTTAACTTTTAATTAACTTCTTTTGTTATCTCCATTAGTTTATGATCACACCACCAAATGCATAAACTTACTCGAAATCAACTTGTCACTTGAACTTTAGATAATACGTGCAGCTTGGCATTGGCATGAAAGCGTTAAATGGACGAAGTTAGCTACAAGGATTTATTAGACAAAATATTGAAAATTTAGGAACCTATTAATTTTTTTTAAGTACAGGGACCAGATAGGCACAACTTTAAGAATTTTTTCTTCCTTTCCATATATTATCAATGAAAAGTTTGTTTCTGGTCAAAAAAGAAAAAAAAAACCTTTTATAGTGCAGAGACTAAATAGACATAACTCTTAAAAGTCAGACAAACTTGTAACTTAACCTAAAGAATTTCTAGTGCAGTATATGTTTTGACTTTTGTTTATATCTTTTAAAATTGGAAGGGTTCGTTTCCTAAATATTTGCTGATTAAGTTGCTAGATTCTTTGTTCAGAAATTTTCCTCATTGTCCTTCCTTGATTGGCCGTCATATTAGTTGTCCTTTTGGTTTTTTATCTTAATTGTTATATGTTCCATTATTGTAGGATGTTGAGCTGCAAGCAGAAGTGTCAACAAAATGCTTTTTCGATGTAGAAATTGGAGGTGAACCAATTGGTAGAATTTTGATAGGACTTTTTGGAGATGTTGTTCCAAGAACTGTTGAGAATTTCCGAGCCTTGTGCACAGGCAAGTTGGAGCGCCACCGTCTTTTTAAAGAATTTTGTATTTATTGACTTCTGCTTTAAGCATAATCCATGTCGTTTATTGATTATCAAATAAATATCATGGTGCAGGAGAGAAGGGATATGGGTACAAAGGATGCTCCTTCCATAGGGTGATTAAAGATTTTATGATTCAAGGAGGGGACTTCACAAACGGCGATGTACTCTTTCTCTCTCTGAACATATATATATACAGTATGCACACACATATATGTACTTATATATATAATATACCATACACATAAATAGAATCCTAGTCTTGCAGGTAAAGATTCCTCCAATCTTATTAAGGCTGAATTGCTGTTGATTTGGTTTCAGGGAACTGGAGGTGTTAGTATCTATGGTTCCCGGTTCCGTGATGAGGATTTTTCCTGTATGTCATGCCTTTAGTCCTATATGAGTGTTATGATTTTACAAGAAGTAACTTTATGGTATTAGCCTTTGGATAGAATCTGTAAGGAAATAAAACTGAAGCTGCAATAACACTGACAACTTTTTGACTTGTCTGCAGTGAAGCATGTAGGGCCTGGTGTACTTAGCATGGCTAATGCTGGACCTGATACGAATGGAAGCCAATTCTTCATCTGCACTGTAAAGGTGATACAACTACAACGCTATATTCTTTTCTTGGATTGTACTGCAGCCCACCACTCTGAACATGAATGGAAATATTCTGCTTTCATTTTAATATAATTTTTTTTTTGCAACCTTGTCTGTTTGAGCAACAAAGTTTCATTGAAAGAAAAATATTTACATAGAAGTAGTAGGACTTGATAAAGAAACACAAACAACTAATCATTACAAGTGGAAACCTGATCTTGCAAAAATGACCTACTATGAGTATTGGCAGCTTGTTATTTGTTGCATTATTTAGGAGTCTAGGACGTAATATTGTTGAAATATGAGGTTATGGATGATTGCATAAGAAGGAATGGGATTGAATTTAAGCTGCATTTATAAGAGGCCTACTAATGATTTGTTATTTTTGGATGCTATTCTCAAAACTAGAAGAATGTAGGATCCTTGTTCAAAAAGATTTAGACTGAATCGTTAGCAAATGATCTAGACAATCAACAACTAAAACCAAAAGATTTAGGAGCATCTGTTCCTTTGGTAACTAGCTTCCAGAGGCTTAGCCAGGAAGATCCTTTTTAATGTAGTTGTTGATTGCCTAGATCGTTTGCTTTTTAAAGGAATACATGTAATGTGGTGGAGGAATTCAAGGTGGATAGGGGCTTTTCCTATTAATCATCTTCGGTTTGTTGATGGTGCTTGATTTTCTTCTCCTTTGAGCCCTTTGAAGTTCATTATCTTCCCTACTTTTCAACCTCTATCCTAAAATTTGGGGACCTTGTCTTGTTGTGCATCCTCTTTCAATTACTTGAAATTGTTTCTTATCAAATTTGAAAAATTGATTGGTTTACATGTATTAAATAAGAGAAATATGTCATTCTTGGAGCACCAGTTAGATCATAAAGTCTAGAAAGGACATATTTTGGAAGACTTTATATTTCTAGATCATAAAGTCTAGAAATATATTCATGAAACTCTCAATTCAAAGCATACATGTGTTTTGTTTCAGTATAACATTTTGTTGTCATAGATTTCTTTTACTCCACATCTCTGTCAATAATTAATGCATCTACATCTTGCATCACGTAGACTCCATGGTTGGACAATCGCCATGTCGTGTTTGGACATGTTATCGAAGGAATGGATGTTGTGCGAAAAATTGAATCGCAAGAAACAAGCAGGTTAGATATTCCTCGCTTGCCATGCAGAATCGTTAATTGCGGAGAACTAAAGGTTGATGGATGATTGATTAGCCTTGTTATAACTTCAGCTATTGAATTCTTTGGGGCTTAGGTGTGCATCATATTTGTTCTGAGTCAAGAATAACATTACGGAATTGTTTATTTTTGGGAGTCACATATTGACGGATGATTAGGCTTGTTGTATGCTCTAGCTGGTGTATCTTTCTGATCCATTTTTTCCCCTTAAAAAGTTCCTGTTCTATATCTAGTTTTTTTTAGGGTGGCATACATGAGAGATTTGTTCTGTCGGCTACAAGTAGCAAGAGATGTATTATTATCCCAGCATATCGATACTTCACACTGTTAGATTCGAGTAGATTGGGAACCATTACAGCGTATTCGTAGTTAATAGAGGACAAATGAAGTATAATTTCGTTCATCGCCACCCAAGTGGATGTGAGGTACAGTTTATTGGCATGAATTAATATCACCTGAAGTAAGAAAGCTTGTTGAACACGACGGTTTTTCCATGTTGTTATATAACTTGTTCTGCATTCTGCCTGTAATTATAATATAAGATTAACTTTATAACCCATGCATTCAACTTATGAAGCCATAAAGATTCAATTCCGAATCTAGGCAGGCATGATTATGCAAGGACCATAGTTGCAACTGCAGGGGACTGCATAGCTTGCTCGGCCTGGTCGTTGTCTTCACCTTCCCATAACTCTGGTAATGCCTCTTTTATATTGTGGATGCTACCTAAGGCATGGTCAGCTCCAGGGACCAACTCCGAGCTTCCGACCTGCACAGGTAACACATCTCTATCTTCATGATGACATTGAAGATTTAAGTGATTCAAAAAACAAGGACAAAGTCGCAAAACTTACTATAACTGTATGAAGGCCTGCTGCTTTTCCGCTCTCGATATTTCTGGCACTGTCGTCGAAAAAGATCTAAGGATGGAAAAGGAAAAAGTTTTGAGTGGAAGGATTTCGATTTCTGTGGAGAAGGGAAAAACTAGAGAAACAGAATGGTGGTTGATTTTGTTACCGTTTTCCCGGGATCGATATCAGCAATTATGATAGCAGCTTGAAACGCTTCAATGGAGGGCTTGCAGAGGATGCCATGGCATTTGTTTTCTGATGATGGGTTATTCAGAGTTTCAAAGCATATAACGCCTTCAAAACAATCCTCCAAAGCCAACCGGTGAAGAACTTGAGCTGCGTGGGCTTTGTCAGCATTGGTAAAGATCTGCAATGGCCAATTCAGACAAAGTTATGTGAATATACGAATGAGGGTATGGTTTCTATCAATTGTTATGGCTTTCATTTTTTCCTTTTTTGTTTACAATTTTTCGCTGTGGCATGGAAAGTAGGAGGTTCCTCAAGACTGGATCAGGTTTCAGTGCCTCATAAGGTAAGGTACCATGCACCTGGGCGTGAAACTCGTCATCGTCGAATTCATAACCGAGAGCCTGGGTGTGAATATAGCAGACACATCATTATTGAATGCTAACTCAAGTATAATACAATTGATTAAGATATTAATAATTTTTTTTTTTTTAAGATTGTAGGTTTGAATTTCAACTTTTCATATCGCCTCACCTTTAACCCGGCCATCGTTGTCCCATATTCCATGTGCATGTCCAAGCACATTTGAGGCACTTCACTTTCCTCTATTTGCAAATGCTTCAACATGAATTCTACGTTCATCATCAACAAGAACAATATCAACATTATTGGTAATTTGCTACGACTTATGTTCTTTCCCATTTCAAATTATCTACGTGTTGTATCGTACCTTCAATTTTCTTACGACATGCTAGGTTAAGACCACAACTTCTTGGGTACAAAGTATCGTCCATATCTGCACACACATTTATCAACTTCTTAAAAGAAGTTTCAAACGTTAAAACATTGCATCATTCATATCGTTATATTATATGTGTATGTGTTTGTATATACCAAATAATAAGCATTCATATTTGAAGCTTCCATTGGACATTCTAACAGCATCCATCCAGAACTACCTGCAAGAAAAAGCATATAATAAAATGGAAGGTAAATAACAATCATAGGTCGTGTTAATCGAACGAACGAAGAAAGAAAAAGGACCTTCGAATTAGACGATAAGATTGAACAAATGGATTGCTGGTTGGAAAGTCCAATGGTTGTAGTTTATATAGAAAGTTGGTTTGATTCCCTGTTGATCGGTTTGAGTCACAGGTTGATAAAAGAAGAAGATACTATAAGCTACATGCAAGTAGATATATAATATATATGAATGATTCCAATTCCAAAGTCCTTCAAAAGGAACAATAATATTAGAAAAATATTCTTCAGCCATGAAACATTTGTATTGTATGGTGAAATGAATGAGCTTAGGAAATAATATAGAAGGAAATTAAACAGCATTTTTGTACATAAAAGTAATTTGACCTGATGATATAAGTGGGTGTTGATGAGGATTTTATATATATGAAGAAGAAATCACTATGCATTTTTTTACTTGCAAATTTGTAATGTTTATGTTTGATAGATTATTCAAGTGTTGGCCGTTATCTTTGTCTTTGAAGATTATACAGGATGTAGTCAAGATAAAATTTTTCCGATAGATTCAATCTTTTACCCTCCATTGAAATAGAAATAAAAGTTCAAAAAGTGAGATTTTAAATTTGCTAATTTGTTAGGAATGCGAAAAATCTAGAATAAAGGTAATTAAACAAATTTGTTTGAATGTTGGTAGGATAGAAAAAGAAAACAAAAGATTTTCTAATGTATATTCTTGACTTATTAAAGGAAAATTGAAATAAATTTGATTTAAAAAAATATATGAAATCCAACTTAATTCATTTTGAAATTTTATTCTATTCCAAGGGATAACAAAGAACATAATTCATTTGAAATCACTCATATTGTGAAAAACAAACACTCCATTAATTTTGGCAAATTAGAGAAACAAATTTTGAATTATTTTTAATCTAAGACAAATTAATTGATCAATTGTCTCTTTTTCCACTCTTCGAACATAATAAAAGAAGTACACCTAAATATAATATAATTGACTAAAGTATAAAGTAACATTTTATAAGGTAAGATGTTGAAATCCCCACCCCAACCGTGGTTGACGAAAAGGTAATCTTTTCTCGGGCAATTAATAAGGTGGAGGGGAGAATAAGATGAAGTGGAGATTTAGTCAAAAGAGCAACGATGCTTATCTTCAACCAGAAGTGAATTATATACCGAGTATATATTATTATACCAATTATTCGATCCCTATGTTTGACAAAGGATCATGTGTAAGTTGTTATGTATAAGAATATGCTATGAAACAATGTTTATTTATGTTAACCTTTGAACATAGCTCAATAGATAAGATATTTATCTACGACTCAAAAGTTGTGAGTTCAAATCTTATCGAGTAGGAACTTTGTGACTTATGAGACAAACGGACACAATACGTGATACCCTATAATAAGGGGCACCACCAAAAGTAAGTTTATATCAATATTTTAAAGTAAAAAAACCATGTAAATTTTAATTAATAAGACAATGTGTTTTTCTTCATTATGGGTCGAAGAAGTTGATAAAAAATGTATATTTTTATAACTTGAATCTAACTTAAATGATTATGACACTTATTTTCAACGAAAAAATAGTGAGTTCAATTGCATCTCCCCGTGTTTGTGTCTCATGTCTTACTAAAGGTATATTTTTATTAGTATTAGTTTTAGAAAAGATTGAACTAAAAAGAATAAATTTCACTGCAATTTGTAAGAAAAACCAGAAAACATGAGAGATTGAGATGGTGAGGAAAAAATATATTGTTAGGCTGAACATAACTTGGTTAATTAATTAAATTATATCTTTCCGCCAGATCACCCGCTAGAATTTCATCCCGTAGTACTTAAAAAAGAAAAAAAAAGGTTCAATTTTAAAATTTTCGAAGTCAGACATATTGAGACAAAAACAAATTCAGGTACAATACAATCGAGCGGATCAGCAGCTGTGCGTTGGATTGGCTTGGCAGATTCTTCTGAAAATGTGTTTGTAGATAACAAATCCACAAATTCCCCTGCAACGAATTTCACTTCGCATCATCTCTACGCTATCAATTCTCAGTTACCTCGCCGCCATGGCTACCGGCGCCACCCTCCTCATCGACCTCCCTCTCCGGCGGACTCACCGTCCCTCTCTTCTCCGCCACTCCAACATTCCCTCCTTCCACCCACTCCACATCTCTCTCCGATGCAATCACGTTCGCTCCAATTTCAGATGCTCCATCGCCGAGGGCTCCACTCTTTCTGCTTCCAAGGGCACTGGCCCCTCTTCCATGGTGGATTGTGTGGTCGTCGGTGCTGGAATTAGCGGCCTCTGCATCGCTCAGGCCCTCGCCACCAAGCACCCTGATGTCGCCCCCAACATCCTCGTCACGGAGGCGAGAGGTCGCGTTGGAGGCAACATCACCACCGTTGAGAGGGATGGCTATCTCTGGGAAGAAGGTCCTAATAGCTTCCAGCCCTCCGATCCTATACTCACTATGGTGGTTGGTATTATTCTCGTTTTGTCCTATCTTCTCCATTTTTAGGCAGTGTGCTGAATCTCCATTGTTAACAATTACACTAAGGAACCTAATCATTCATGCTGTTCTTCTGAAAATAGACAAGTAAATGATCCTTCTAAGCACTCTGGAAAATATCAATCTAATCTTAAATATGGAGGAAGGTGCCTACTCTAAGTTGCGTTGTTTTGCTGATTATAGTTCCATAGGATTTTATCCTCTAACTAGAATTAGTATAGCGGGACGAGGATGACCTTATCTGAACAGTATTTGTTCTATAGCCCTTAACTATTGTGGTGGGATGATCTCCATATTCTTTATTATCTATTGCTGAGGGCTTTCTATTCTCGAGATTTTATATATTATCAGTTGTAGGCATGTTTTATATGTATTGTCAGGAAGTGATTTTCTTTCGGTATGTTTTTTGAGTGTCGTTGGTTTTATTTATTGATTCTCATACAATGGCAGGTGGATAGTGGCTTGAAAGATGATTTAGTTCTGGGAGATCCGGATGCACCTCGATTTGTACTGTGGAATGGAAAGCTAAGGCCAGTGCCTGGGAAGCCTACTGATCTACCTTTCTTTGACCTGATGAGTATTGGTGGAAAAATTAGAGCAGGCTTTGGTGCACTGGGCATTCGCCCTCCTCCTCCAGTTTGTCTTCTCAATCCTATGTCTATATATTGGAGTCCATTGTCACATCAATCTCAGAAAAAGGGAAATTTTTTGTTTTCAATTTCGTATATATTGTAATACTGACGAAGGTAACAGGGTCTTGTCACAGGGTCGTGAGGAATCAGTTGAAGAATTTGTTCGTCGGAACCTTGGTGATGAAGTTTTTGAACGCTTGATAGAGCCATTTTGTTCCGGTGATAATCATATTGCATATTTTCTTTATCACACTATGTTTCCTATTATCTTGAGAAGGTTTCTAAATCCTTGTTTCTGGTTAGGATTATATAGTATTGCGGTTATCAAATTAATATTTTCTAGTATTGTGGTAATGTGGTTATCAAATTAATATTTCGTATTCTTATGATAAGCACCATATAGAAGTGATCCAAAGAGTGTAATGAAGTTCTTTCTAACGGTTATTACTTGTTCCTTCTTGACTGTTGAACTCTATTTTCTTTTTGGGATGTTTTTGGCTCACAAGTTAGGTTCACGTAACACAAAGTTAAGAAATAAATCTTATGTTCGATACGTAGGTTTGCTCGTGGATAATTATATGGGCTATATTATCCAAACTTATGAAGTCTTCCTTTTATACAACATATTAGCTTTTGTGAACCATAAACCACAAACCAAACATAGGTTGCTCAAACCCAGGTTCTTATAACCTATTCCTTTGCAACATCTAAACACAGATTATAAAAACTTGGACTTCCCAACCCCAAATTTCATAAATTTAGGCTTATTAAAATGGGGATGTTTAAAAAATTCCCTTAGGATGTTGGACGAAGAAAGAAAAGGTGATTGAAGATGTGGATGTCCATTATATAACTTGAGAAAGAACCATATTTGTTACTAGGAACGCTAGAGAGAACAAATTGAATAAGGGTTGATTGTCTTGCTCATCGAGTCAATTATTAACCCAAAACTGTCTTGTTCAGGCGTATATGCTGGTGACCCTTCAAAGCTAAGTATGAAAGCAGCTTTTGGAAAGGTTTGGAAGTTGGAGCAAAATGGTGGTAGCATCATTGGTGGGACTTTCAAAGCATTACAAGAGAGGAATAATGCTACCAAGCCACCAAGAGATCCGTAATGGTTTAACTCCATGGAGTTTCTCTGTTTTTCTTTTACTTTTCTTCCTTTTTCATGATATTAAACTTGTTTAATAACCACTTCTTACATTCTAGGCGTCTGCCAAAGCCTAAGGGCCAAACTGTTGGATCTTTTAGGAAAGGACTTGCCATGTTGCCGACTGCTATTTCTACTTGGTAAATTTTGTTGAAAAACAAATTTTCTGACAAGTGTTTTGACTATCAGTCTCTGGATTTATCATCTCTTCAAATTTTCCTATTGGTTGTAGTTTGGGCAGTAAAGTAAAATTGTCTTGGAAGCTATCCAGTGTGAGTAAAGTGGATGATGGAGGTTATTGTTTGACATATGAAACACCAGAAGGACCGGTCTCTATTCTCAGCAGAAGTGTCATCATGACGGTTCCTTCTTATGTTGCCAGCAGTCTGTTGCGTCCAATCTCTGTAATTACTTTCTGGGACTTCAATATGGTTTAGTATATAGTGTTTTGTCGAGGCCTTTCCAGAAGATTTTTTTATGATATTTTCCATATATAATTCCCGCTTTTCCATAGCTTTCTTTAGTGTTAGTAATAGCCGTTGTTTACCCTTTTTGAAACCCATATCACCCGTTAGTCAAAAACTGAAATGGACTTCGACAAATTAATAACTTATATTCCATTTTGTGATGTTGTTTCATCCACAATGGGGTTGAGGATATAATAAGCATGGAATTAACATTGTGGAAACACACTTAAACTTGAGTCAGGTAGCAAAGGATAGGAGGGTAGGATGGTAGCCCACAACCTGTTTGCAAAGGATCGTCTGAGAAAAACATAGCCTAAATCTTCAGCTTTTTCTTTCACAAGGAGCTTTTTCTTTGCTGATTCCATTGTGATTATTCATTAAACAGAATAAGTTATCTCCTATTATCTTTGCATGTATTTGTGGGAGTAAAAGGCTAGTAGATTGAAGAAGCTGTGCCATGCTGAATTGATGCTGCTTATTTACCCAATTCCTTGGAATTAGTATGCCTGTGAATTGCATAAATGTTGGCCTGATTTGAGTAAAAATTGCAAAGGCTACTAAGTTCATCTTCTGTGGTTTCTATTTGCAGTATATACACCTATCTTGTGATTTCCCAAGTTGGAATAAAGTATATGCATCCAACTTCTAAGCAACTTAATTTACTCACCAGTGCAGAGTACATTTATCTCTCAAAACCTGTCAAGTTGTGCACCTGGTGCAAGAGTAGGATGTCCAGCATTTGTTCTGTTTTCAGGTTTGTTTCTTTTTGCTGATTCCCTTGCCTGCAGGTGACAGCTGCAGATGCACTTTCAAAATTTTATTATCCACCAGTTGCATCAGTGACTATATCATATCCAAAAGGAGCAATCAGGAAAGAATGCTTGATTGATGGTGAACTAAAGGGGTTCGGTCAACTGCACCCTCGCAGCCAGGGGGTGACAACTTTGGGTAAATCTGCTTTCTTTACACTTTATGTGGCATTCTGCCGCAAACTTATGTTAAGATAACATTGCCTTTAAGTCTTACAGCTGTAACTATTAGGTAATTAAGATGGATCCAAATCCATGCTTGGTTTGTTGCAGGAACTATATACAGCTCCTCACTTTTTCCCAATCGAGCACCAGATGGAAGGGTATTACTCTTGAACTACATTGGAGGGGCTACTAATACTGAAATTCTTTCCCAGGTAAAATTTCTTTTACCACAGTTTGGAAACGATCATTCTGAACCATATTTAAAGTTTTGTTGGGAAAACTAAATGCAAAAGGCTTAGTGATGGAATGATGATTAATACCTGTGAGGAAAGTGTCAAGTATCTCTTGTAACTCACTCTTTTAGATAAGAGACTTAAATAATTAACAACCATTATGCTTACAGGTCACCAAACAGTTCAGATATTCCAATGAAAACACCCAAACCTCTAAACTTAACTCCATCTGGATTTATTACTGATTGTTGGTTGCTCATATATGGTTGAATACCACTTAAATTCCATCTTCTAAGCCTACCTTGTTTCCTTGTAGCATTATTTTGCTCATCATAAGACTCAGATTCTTGTTACTATTGTTCTTATGTGATAACAGACAGAGAGTGAGCTTGTTGAAGCAGTTGATCGGGATTTGAGAAAAATCCTCATAAACCCAAACGCAGAGGACCCCCTGCTATTGAGTGTGAGGGTGTGGCCACAAGCCATTCCACAGTTCTTGATAGGTCATCTTGATGTTTTGGATGCGGCCAAGGCAGGGCTGAGAGAAGCTGGAATGGAGGGGCTGTTTCTGGGCGGAAACTATGTGTGTGGTGTGGCCTTGGGGCGATGTGTGGAGGGTGCCTATGAAGTTGCAGCTCAGGTAGCTGGTTTCCTGTCCCGAAAAGTGTATAAATAGCTGCTTTCTAACTAATAGGCTATATTCATGCCGTAGAGATGGAAGTGATGGCGGTGTTGTAGGGTATTAGCTTGATTTTGTGCGCATGCTTAAAATTGCCAGTAAATCAGTAATAAATAGTCGTAATCCTATTTTTGGTATGATTGCCCACAGTTTGTATTCGTGTGCTAAACAGAGAACAAATACACATTTCACCGTTTCAAATGAAATCAGAAAACGAAAGTGAATATTGGTGGGTTTAAATTCAGGATACACATCTACTTTAAGAATTAATTTTTACGTATTTCCTAGCACCAAATGTTGTAAGATTAGGCGGCTGTTCGTGAGATTAGTCAATGTACGCGTAAGGTGGTCCGAACACTCGTGGTTGTATATATATAAAAAGAAAAAGTGAATATGAGTGAGAACTCTTTTATTCATGCAAATTCAATCATCATAGGGAAAACTAAAAAGACTTCTGATTCTGGCAATCCAAATTGGGGCCAGTATCGACATTGAAGAGTTGAGCATATCTTTTGAAGAAGCCGATACGGTCATTGACTCGGGCATCGTCGGGAATCCCACACTCGAGTCCGCCATTGATGATGTTGGTGACGAGGCCGTAGCCTGCAGTTCGGTTGGCTTGTATGTCGGCCTTTGTGGGAACGTATCGACCGACCATGACATCGTGGCACGAGGGCTTTGGGTTGCGCTCCGTCATCCAGAACCACAGCGCAGTCTGGAATGCGATTGCCGAGTCCTCCGCCACTATCTCTGGGTTCCTCAGCCCGTCGAATCCCAGTGCTTCCCCCGCTAGCCCGTAATTGAAATTCCTGTTTGTCCATTTATTCAACTTTACATTTGTGTCTAATAGATCTCAAATCGTCTAATAAATTTATAAGCATATATTCAAAAGTTTTTAAAATTAATAAATCTATTAGATACAAATTTAAAGGACTTAGGCGATGAGTCCATTATTTATATATTTAAATCTTATTTTTTCTTCAAACTATAATAATTTCATCTATGAACTTTTTAAAATATTTATTTTAATATTTGAACTTAAAAAACTGATCCTTGACTTTCAAAATATTTATTTTAGTAACTTTTTTTTTTAAAAATATGACTACTTTCATTTTGTCACATGAAATTTGCTTAATGATATTGAGATCAATAAGGATGGACAGTGACGGATGAGAAGCAAAGTTTTGTTACCATGATAGCTGAATAGGTCCTCTTCCTTTATAGGACTTGCCAGGATAGCAAGGCCATTGTTGGTCACTTTCATCGCAGTAGTTGCTCTGTGGACTTATTTCCTCTTTAAAGCACAACCCCCAAGCAAAAGGTCCATCTGGGGCAGTAGCCCACCCGCCCGTCGTCTCGTGCGAGATCTGAGCCAAAAACGCCGCTATCTCACGCTTGCGAGTGGCCAAGCATCCTGTCCTTCCAAATTTTGGAAACATTCTCGTTGCTTCAATGAAAGCTTGGTAAGGGTAGAATCCGTTCGCTGGACATACACTGTCGTCTTTGTGTAGAAATATTGTCTTAAAGAGCTCTTCACTAACCAGAGAAGATACATCGCCTTTATCCCTCCGATGACGGTAACGGGCCTCCATCGACGGGAGGCCGGTTCCGATCAAAAGGATGAAGGAGAGAAACAAGAAGACGGGTGCCATTTTTGGTAGACAATTAGTATTTCCTAGCTAGCAGTTGTTGTTATATATACATATAACAAGCCAGAGATGATTGGCAAATGGGGAAGGCCATGTGACATGATAATAATATGATTTAAATAATTTGGCACAAGTGGTAGGACATTTATAAAGTCAACGGTCAAATTTTTGAACTTAAGATGCACTGGATTCTATATAAATTGGTTATAATATGTAAATATTTGAAGGATGATTTTTTATGGGCATTGATCAGATTTGTCTGAGTCGTGATTGGTTTTGGTATAATATTTAAACAAAATTTGGTTTTTATAAGTGGGGTTGGATGGATATTTATATTGCACTCTAGAAACAGCAAAAGCAAAAAATTTCACAATCACGATAATATAAATATTTTCTTATGTGAAACTCTTGGAAGTTGCACATACAAATCCTTTTACTTAGAACTCCAAATTAAATAGTACGATTTCAAGTAAAAGATTAGATGAAAGATTATTTTGATGATCGAAGACCAAGAGATAAAAAGGAGAACTGGTTTTCATATTCAAGATTGAACATTCCACAAGAAGGTTGATCAAACCTAACTTGAATGTTCCGGGCTTGCAATCTAGATCAAGAATTGCGAAATTGATGAACTCTTAGTCCTCACGCTAAACACTCAAATTCATTCTAAAATTGAAAGTGATTCTTCTGTTTACAAGATTAAAAGCCCTAACGGAAGCCAAAAGTCTATATAACTTTAAAATAGGATGACGTAATTAATTTAAAAAATAAACACCTAAAATTAATAATTCAATGTCATGTCGATAAAAAAATATAAAGGCTTAAAATAAGAGAAATAACAATTTTAAAATAATAAAATTTATTAATACAGAGTTTCTTCATTGGCATATGAATAAAACTCCTTTTCATCTGTACCATCTTGATGTCTATTAGTGGATCTCGCCACTGTGTGGATGAGAGTCGAACACTAGTTATAACGGTTTGGCTCGTGAACGAGTGATTGGTCGTGGGAGCAAGGCTAAAGCATCTTGATTCATATCATTTTTTGTTAAGTTCAATAATTGTAGGCGTGAAAAATCTATCGATCTTTGAAATGATAATAAGTATTTTATCTACTGAAGTATACTTAGATTGATAGATAATATAGACATTACTTCTTTATTTTTAGTCATGACAATATTATCAAGAATATGGTGTGGTGTATAATAACATTAAATAATAATAGCATAAATTTTGGGATGCTAGCTCCCAAATAGACAAAGCCAGGCCACCCAATAATATACTTAATTTTGAGGGCTGCAGGCCGCAAAAGAAAAGACAGGCACTAACTTCCAATGCGGCAAACTTTGCCCAAGAGTTCACTTTTTCAACTTTTAATTTTGCTTTTTTTTTTTTTCTTGAACTCAAGATTTTATTAAATATAAAATTGAAGAAAAATGCAAAAACATAATTTTTTTTTTTTAAATAATAATGAGTTGTCAAATATTTAGTGGCGAGGGAGATAAGTATTTTCCTTTATCCGACAAAGTTGAAAAGCTTGTTAGACAAAGAATTAAAAACAATTTTTAAAGTTTAAAAATCTACCGCATAAAAACCTGATAAATTATAGGGTTAAATCGGTAGTTTAACTAATTTATCAGGGGATGCTGGTGGAATTTGGCAATAATTGGAATTTAAGTGTTGGAAGTTGAGAATGAGATAATGCACTTTCTAAAGAGAAGACTTTGACTTACTTCATTTACCATATCTACATCTACATCTACATGCTACGAGGTATAGACTCAATCTATTGACTCCAATAAACATAAATTTAGAACTTCAATTTCATTATATTAGAGAGAGAATATTATTTGGTTACAGATTCAAATTTCTACTAATTTATTGCAAAGATTATCGAACATAATTCTAGTCATGGGTCAGCATTTCATTTTTCAATTGTTCGAATATTTGGTCCAACTTCAACCAAATTATCACAATCTCATCATATACCCCATTTGCCAGCAATTCTTTTTACATATGTTATGATTTATGATTAATTTTCAGGAGAGGTAGGCACAACTTTGTGTAAATCTTAGGGTTGTTTTTTTATTAACAACTGGCTAGTTAAATGAGTGTGCACCTAGAGAAAAAGAAAAGGCCATAGGTAGATAATAAAGAACCATTTAACTGAATTACTCTGGATTAGGAAACACCCAACAACCCGACTAATCCAATCAAAATCTTAAGGGTTGGGTTGAGTTGGGTTAGATGAAGCTTCGAGTTGGGTTGAGTTGTGATTTTTTCTAACCCGATCGGGTTAGGTTGGGTCTCAGGTTCAACCTTTAAAAAGTCATGTCAACCCAATCCAACCCGAATTTATGTATATATGGGTATTTTTCTTAATTATATATATAATAATATATTTATTTTTAATGTCAACCGTCCAATTAGTGTTAATTCAAAATTAAAAAAAAAAAACACAGACCGACAACCCAACCCAACCCAACCTGAAAATATTGGGTTGGGTTGACCATCCAATTCAAATACGACGGTTCCTATATATGGCCAACCCGAAAATTCGGATGGGTCCCAAAACCCCTCTTAACCCGACCCAACCCAACCTGTCAACACCCCTACTTGGGATACTTGTGCCCATAAGAAATCTGACACCCCTACTTGGGATACTTGTGCCCATAAGAAATCGCGAAGCCACCTCTTTCATGCTCATGTCATCTTGAGGGTACTGCAGAAGAAAAAATTGCAAAATCCGATCCAATTTATTGTTATGTTCGAAGAGGAGTTATTGCCTATTGTTGGTCTTGTGGTAGAATTATTCGGGAGCCTGAGAGGTGGTGGTTTACCCTATGGCAGATGTCAACGCTTTGAGTCCACTTATCTCTAACTTGTAAACTTAGCCCAACTTACAATCCAAACTGAGGACGAGTTTTTGGAGTCACGACCCTTTGTCCCAGTCATTGTAGCACTTGTGTCGCCAACCAATTAGGTTTACGATGAAACCTAAAAATCGATCATTGATCCAATTTAAGTACCTCCACAAGATAGATCTTAACAGGAAATTGAAGAGTAACGTCAACAAGTGATTAGATAGAGAGGAGTTCGATATCTAGCGAAACACTTAAATATTTAAGCTAGTCAAAGTCTCAGGTTTACAATTTTATTTACTTTTTTTTTAATAACTCAAGGGTACAAAATTTTGGTATGTAGACACAGCTTTATCCCATATTTCCTCTCCACTCCTTGTATATATGGAAGGAAGATTGTAACCAAGGGCCGTTTGTTCCGTGGGAATCCAAGATTCCTGAGACGGACATCTAGATTTCGATGTTTGTTTTGTGGTGATGTAAGATATTTGGGTATCTGGAGATGCTAGCTCGAGTATCCTAGAATGCTCATTTGGAAGGCATCTGAGTCGATTTAGATGTCCTTTTGAAACATGGGTTTCCATGATTCCCATGTCAAGGGCATCCAATGTTGACGTTTTTACCTCTTTGTTATTTTTTCATATATTTTCTTTTATCAAATTTCTTTGGTTTTATTTGTAATTTTATAGTTTAAATAAATTAATATACTCATTGACTAATAAGCAATTAAGTATATTCATATATTACATGTACATATAAAATAAACTTCAATTAAATTATATAATATCTCCATTTAATTTTAACATTTTTTTAACGATCAACATTTAAAGAATATAATTTGATAATATAATAAATTAATTTTACACCGTATAACATTAATTATATAATTGTATTTAAAAAAATATTAAAGTTGAAAATGAAATTTATATTCAATATTAATTATTTAAAAAAAATCTTATATTAATATGAATTCTACTTAATAACATTAAAAAAAATTAATACATATACGCAATTAATATAAAAACCTAAAATATTAAATTAATTTTAAGAAAATCTATTATATAAATGCAAATTATATTAGATTAATGTATAAATTATATAAATATTCGTAAGGGCGTTTTTGAAACATTATATAAATTTAGAACATTCCCATGAATAAATTCTACAAAACAAACGTGGTCACCTGAAGATGTTAGACATCTAAAATTTCGGATATCTGAAATTCCAGACATTTGAAGATGCTATACATCTTACATTTTCAAAAAAAACAAATTGTCCCTAAGTAGTTAATTCATCATATGGCATAAAGTGACACTACTCAATCTTTACCTTAAAATTGGAGTGTTGGGATTCACGAGCCACCCTCATTTGGTTGACAGTCTCTCTTAATTGAGCTGTGCGAATGGACCATTTAGCTTACTTCAGTAGAGCACCACCTACCAGTAAAGTTTTAAATGCCAATCTTCAAAGGTTATAAAAATAAAAAATTGGTGAGAAATATGCATTTTAACTCTTTTAAACAAGGTAAAAATGATTAATATTAATATTAATATAAAAATGGTTAATATTAATATTATGTTTATATTAGTGATATTTTATTGATATTTTTCATATTTTGTTGTTTCTTTTTGTAATACTATATAAATGTCGATTTACCCCTCATGTTCATGTCGAATCCGTAGATATATAGAAATGTTGGCATGTAAATGAATGTTTAATTCCTTACCGAGTAATAGGTTATGATCTCTCATTGAGCTACAATCCATTGTCTTTACCTTGTTAGGATCATAGGCTCACACTCACTTAATTGAGCTAAAGATGACGGGCTCATACTACTTTTGAAACACTAGCATATAAGCCTCATCATACTAGCATGATACATAAATTATTTTCAATTTTAACCATAACAAGGATAAAAATATAATTTATTCCTAATGTATATACATATTTTTTAGTTTTATTCTTGGTTTAAAAAGTTTTAGTTTATAATATAAAGAAAATTTATAATTAACTCGCTACCATCACTGTACTTTATAATATGACTTGTTAATACAGTATTAAAATATTATAAATCGTAAAAGATGTGTAATTAAAAAATATTATTATATCTTAAAACTTTAAATGTTAATTTATTTAAAGTT